ACACATAGGTGATTCACATGATTGAAAAATAGAACATAGTTACTTATTTAGGCAACGTTTACTAGTATAAATCAAGGAGAGAGGTCGTTGACCCACTGTCGTGAGGTTAGACTAGTTGGAAAAGGTTACAAAGCAGGTTGAAATAACCCTGACCTCCATGTCAGGATTAGACGGCATGCTAAAATAGAGCGGGTCACCAAATCTGATAACGCATTCTGACAGAGCAGAAGTCTTATACTGGTAGCAAATCGGTCAATAGATGTGTCTATTTGTATATCGGTGAGGAAAATTGATTAATTTTTAAACACATTTACAGGTGTGACATGAAATTTGTGCCACCTTGTTAGCATTAACGCAGCCTGATTGGTTTCTGATATGTGAAGACATGCTTACTGATTCACATTTGATAATGATACTTTATTATCTTATACAGTGCCCATATAATTCCTTATCATTACAAATACAATAAAATATCTATTTGAGCGACTAAATTGCTTTATACCAATCTCTCTGGTATATCCGATATACTAACTAGTCGTTTCCCCAGGGTCCAGAACACGGTAGCACATCTGGTTTCTATTATTGCATTGTTACCTGTACGAAACAGTTCGCAGTAAAACTTTTGATGTTCACGTGGAAAGCTCCGAAAGGAAGAGATCCACATTGTTCCCCGGATGTTAATTGTCACCTATTATTAGCCGTCATGCAGTCGGAAACAGAATTCCTGATATATGCTCAAAACTTTCGTACCTATGGAAACCAACCTTTCGTAAAGGTAGCTACCACTTAGTTCAGTAGCTAACCATCTGCTACTAGAAGTCTAAAACCCATGCCGGATTCAAGATGATGTAAAATAAATAATAATTTCTGAATTTTAGGCTGATTAGTACAGTTGTCATGTAAATAGCATATAACTCTGTATGCTCATTGTATTGTGTAGATTTACAAGATTCTTCTAGATATACTGCGAAATCACACATTTTCGTGGGGTTTTAACTTCGTTGAGTTCGTGGGTAATCTTCATCCGCGAATATGTAGGTCCACAAAGTACTTGTAATAAGTTTGATAAAAACCAATTCTCTGCTTGAGTGGTCACTGGTAAATCACGAATTCATGTTATATGGTGTTTTGTCTGGAACTCACGAAATTAAGGCCCCACGAAAATATCGGATTTCACAGTAATGTTTATATATATTATGTGCTTTTTTTAACATTTTCGTTGTGCAGTCCAACCAATAATGTTGTCATTACCCAAAAAGCAGCAAAAAACATTACACCTGAAGGTTTTCTGTGGCGATCGGAAACTGTTCCGGTTTTTCTGTTTGACCAATCATAACATGATGTTAAAATCAAATTATAACGGATTTCATTTTTTTTCTTTTTCACGTTCGCCTCATGAGGAAATTGGTATCCATAGAATTCCTGCAAAAAGTTTTTTTCCACTGCTCAATACTTTCTCCAACTCAACGAAACTTACATTGAATAAGTAGGTGTCGGGTCATTAGTGTAATATATTTTATGTTAATCGTGGTGTTTTTTTGTCCTTTTAAATAGCATACAGATTGAGCCAAATTTCCAATAAAACACCAATACTTCTTCCTAGTTTTTTGTGTTCTAACAATCGGACGTTTAAAGGGAAAAGTCGGAAGGAAATCGCCTTCTATATCACTGTAGTGGAAAGGGATTATAAATCCAGATCCATTTGAAAACAAGCTTGTCCTGTAGAATTTATATGCGAGACCAAATGCATCGGGGTATGTTTTGGTATAAATCATGACAAGAAGTTACTGTCGGTTCAAACAAGCTGTATTCAAACATGGCCGCTTACATATCAACCCCCGTGGTATAGTCTATATCACAAATATGCTTAGCACATATTAGTAAAGTTAAAATCATAATGAAAGTAAACAGTAGAAAAAGTTACTGTGATCTACACAGTTCGCGGTAATGTAAGTTATACACTGTAGTAGATACCAATCTCGAAACAGAAAAAGCAAAAACTGCACGACATCAAAGAGCTGTACAAAGTAACAGAAATAAAGATTAGAAATACACAGAAAACACATTATTTTGTTTGTAGATGAGGAAATCCAAACAAACTGACCATTTTACAGCGTCATATGGTTATTTTGCCATTAAGACCCACCAGAGGTACTAAAATCAAAAGAATAACATTTATGTCTTAAGTATCCCGAATTATATGTAGAATACCGCGAAAATGGTCAGGTGTCTATAAAACCGGTTATAACGTGACAATTGATCAACTGTTAGCTACGTGATCATTTCATGTTAACCGTGCCTCGACTACAATGTCATGGTGAAACTGACAACATAACTGACTTTACTCTCAAACATCTATCGTGTTAGGCGTTGCTTCTATTCTTTTAGTAAGATAATTTTAAGAAAATTTTACCTTAAAGCTCAATTAACACGTTGTTTTATATAAATTCAATTTATACAAATTTTATTTAAACGTTTCTGAGTTAATTTTCATTTAATAAGAGGAAGAATGGAACAAATTTTATTTAATGGTGTATGTTTTAGAAAGATATATAAATGTTGCTGATTTTGTTATTACTTAGACGAGCAAAGAGCAATGGAATATATTTGATTTATTGATGTATGTTTAAGAAAGTTATACAAACGTTGTTCAGTTAGTTTTTATTTAATTAGATTAGAAGAACAAGTATGAGTTATTGTTGTATACTATAGAACGATATATAAACATTGTTGAGTAATTCTATATCAGGAAAAATGATAATATAAAATGACAGGTAAATCGATTTGAAAGTTAAACATACTTGATGTTAGACTAGTATTGTTTTTCACCCACTAGTAAAATAGATCCATGTGATAACGCATGATCTGGTTATATAGTATCATTACGTAAGCCTTATCAAGTGTTTATTGCAGGACATGTAAATATAGAGAGTGATATATGGGCGATTCGTAGAAACGTAATTTGAATCGTTGTGCAATCAGAAAGCTGTAGAGAGGTGACACGAAAACAAACACAAATATCGCTATTTTTTATTTATTTTGCTTACCTTCATATGCCGCAAGGTCTATTTATGATCATAGGGAGTAAGGAAAGGCAGGTCGGCAATATATTACAACATATATGATAGGATGACACGGACGCCAATTTACCGAGTTTGTCGTCTCTCTCGTTCAAATTTAACAATGCTGCAATGGAGTATTATCAAATAACAATTTGTTTATCTACAGAACAAAAAGACAGCAAATATGTACGTAACTAAGTATATCACTAATAATATGAGCCAGGTATGAGGTATTAAGAAGCCAGCACAATTTGAATATGGTAATGACAGTCACACACCTGCGGTTGTACGTGCACATTCTGACTTTGGCAAGGACTACCAAGGTCATTAAGTACTATGCTTTGACTGATAAAAATATTCTAAAGATTCGACATTTAACTGTCGTTATATATAGAGATACATTTTCTTTTAAAAACTAAGAATTTAATAATAATAAGCTTTATATTACGAGGATAACAAATGGCTAATCTAATGCATAGTCCTCATAATAAGAAAATGTAATAGTAAGTGAAAATGCATTTTTTACCAGTGATTGTAAAATACGAATCTACAACATCATCTACATAAGTTGTAAAAACAAACAAAGGTCAGTAACATAATTACAAATATCAATATATGAAATAAGCCTTGATTACATTAAACACCATCGTTAACCTCGAATAGCCTGTAACCTTACACATAAACTAGAGACAATGCTTCAGAGTACAAATCCAAAATTTACATTTGATATTACATTCATTATGACAATCATTTTATGTCATACTATGTGACGTTATATAACCGCACATTTCATATCTATAATTATGTGCTATAGAACTGATAAGATTTATTTGTATCGTCCTATTAACAACTTACGTCACTAACGGTAATTAGTAAACATTAAACAAAAGATTATAAAAACGGACTGGAGATAAACAAAAAATCAACATATTTAATGTTATAAGTTATTTTAGTATTATGATATCCTCTTTGTGTGTTTTTATCTACAGTTAAATGACTCGTCCAGAATGGTTGTATAATTGCAGATGACCGATGCATTCAACCGATACAGTTTGTTATGAACACAAAGAGATGGAATGGCTGGAAGGTCACGTACACATCAATTAGAATCGTATCAGCACATGGTAGCGTGCTCGGATGTGGGTAAGTGCGTGGTGGAAATTAAGGTTTCTGTGTCGGTGACTAGAATCTAACTCGATCGATAATAGCTATGATAAACACAACGGGATGGTGTCAGCATAGTTGATTGTGTGTGGGTATATATCAATACACAATATATTTATATCGTGTATTAATAGATGCATGTGAAATGATAAAAGAATCCACATCGTTTACATTGGTGATGTAACAGTTAATGTTAGAGGTCTCTCGAAAAACAGTTTAAGTATAATATGCATAGGAAGTATATTATATAACCAGCATATTACATTAATATATGAAATTAACGATAATGTCATAATGACTTCGAAACTTGTTCAATATAATCTGTTTCGTTCAGTTTACCTCAGATCTATAGCCGAGCCAAAAATCTTATTTATATGGAAGCGAAACTGAAACTATACCAAATTCACGTCGTGCAAAATTTCTGTATTACTAAACGAAGGCGTAGTAACAATTAGAGCAGCTGATATCACTGTTTATCTACCCAGTCGCTATGATATGAACGTGTTGATCACTCCTATTATTACGACAGTAGTTTTATGTTATTGGGTATAACGTAGATATTACTATGGTGTTTACTGGGTTACTAAATATACACATCAATTATCATCGGTTGTACTGTCACTGTAAAGGCAAAAAAATGGAGATGGGTTATCTCAACCTCGATGATGTACCAACCTTGGCAGTGGTTAACCTATATCTTACAGCACGTGAAAAGTTCGTGTGACTCTGAGGGGCAATGCCATATAAGGAATAACTAGATTAGAATTGTTTAGTGTGAGCTCGGGATTTCAATAACAGAAGTATGTGAACGAGCCTGCTCTTTAGCACTGTAACATATTTATCAACCTATTAAAGAACGGAAGACTCGGCATCAGTTCCTGGTACAAAGTCATACACATAGTACATGATGTTGACCGTACGTGTCCTTGCTGACCAAGGTAAGGTGCCGCACGTTATCTTGTGTTATATTTTTTTTAAAGCTACATATCTGCATATTTATATAAATATGTATACAATATCTTTATATCTAAATGTAATCTTGGGTTTTCTATTGGATATTTGCGCCAATATGAAGTAAGTAAGTTATACTAGAGAAATACAGAGAATAACTATCGAGAATTTCTTATCGAACAGAATATATGGCAATGCCTTTCGTCTATATATGTATGTATACGTCTCGAAAAAATAGGAATGACTAAATGTAGCGTACTTTTCAATATAGAATTGTATCTATCTATGCGTTACACATGTATTTTATTATGCTGATATGTAGATTAAAAAGGTATTGAAAATTCGTGGGTCCACTTCAAATAGCTCGCGAGCATATATTTGTGGGATCAAAACAAAGATACATATTACACGCGAACATCGATATTCTCTAGAACATGATAAGCTAAGTTTCGAAAATAAGTCTCGCAAAGATTAAGTTATTTACAGTACCTTACCGTCGAGGTGACCATTTCCTAGAACAAAAGTATTTCATGGTGTACAAGTTTTTCCGAGACTAACTTATACACGTGTAAATGCACAAAGGATTTCCTCGTTTATTCGTTGAAACCCCATTTTCTGTTAGAACCTACCTATACACGCTCCGTTAAATGTTTAGCGGTATAACGAGAGTATGTGGTGTTAAAGAATGAACATGACATAAAAACGCACGTTTTATTACACGCGGTACCCTAAACTGATTACCTGGTTTCTTAAACATGGCACGCGCAAACTTGTAGCCAAATTTCCTTTTGTATGATAGTGCATATCTATTTAAATATACTGGTGTCTCTGTTTCGATTTTGATACAGGCGTTTATGAACGGTCACGGGCAGTATTTACAAGGGCAATACAATTTGACAATAAAAAGCGATTACACACTCCAGAAAGACACCACAATAGAAGTCTATAAGACAAACGTATCATGTGATTGCATCTGTAAAATTGAATAAAATAAAATTAAATATGCCAAAATTTATAATGCTGCATCAGCAATATCCTTCTGGAACAAATTTGTGATGCTAGGGGCCTAAAAGTGGATTAAACATTCTGAGAGAGAGAGCAGAGGGGAAAGTTGTTAAAACCCCTTAATTGTATAAATAAAAAATAAAAAAGTACATTGTACTAGTTTATTTCAAATGAATGATGAATGAAGTGTGTATAAGGATATCATTACAGCTATCAAGGCTACGGAATGCACATTAAATGTTCTTGAAGGTAAATCAAGCGAGTCAGAAGGGATTGTGTTTCTAGTGCCACAGTTAGGAGCTGTTGTGATTTCCCTGTCAAATCCATGTAGTATTATCGATCAGAAAGAGATGACCACGACTTTACATTTGAAACTTGATCAACTTTGGTAGAAAAAACAAGAGAATACCAAAAAACCATGAACTCAAAATCGATAAAACTAGGGCTAAATATGAACAAAGGACAGGTTTACACGGAGACTAATAAAAAAGTACAGGGACAATAAGACCAGGTGTTCCGGAAGGGTAAACGTCTTCTGCTTACTCGATGACAACCGTCATGTAAATCGAAGTCGAATCCAAATAATGTCCCGACGTCCTCACATCGAGAACTCGGGTAGTGACAACAAAACCATAAGGCACTCTGATGAGCATAAGGGAACATATCTTCTGTATCTTCTGTTAAGGGGACAGCGAAGACACCACAATTGATCTGCTGTTCCCATTAGGTTATGACCGTACATTCGTTCAGCAGACATTGTAACGCATCTCGGGTAGAAAATACTTTGGATTCAATCAAATTATTAGAATCACTATTTATCAATTGGTCAATAGGAAGCACATGTTCAGAAATATCTGATAGTAAGGACATTCTCTGGCAGAGTGAATCAACTCTGTCAGGTAAACATCAATAGAAGTGGAGGCTGGTACATAGGAAATATGACCGTAAAACATTATCGTAAAGCTTGGAAATCCCTTATTATGTTTAAGCAGTGATGTGACAATTATTGTTGTAGTGGGGTAACCATTATCGGCAGCGAAGTGTCCTTGTTTTATATAGTTTGGTGGCGAGATAATCATTGTTATCATATGTTCTGGTGGTGAGGTGATCATTATTATCGTATAGTTTAGAGTGAGGTGAATATTATTATCATCACGTTTTATCAAAAGCTATTATTGGAAAAAAACATCTGTGTTTAAAGTCGTTCAGTTATTGAGTGTCCATTATATTAAAGAATGTTGTATACTAGGACAATTCATCTATGAGGCAAACAAATTAAGGGTATTATAATGGAATATGATTGTCTTCATTCTCTGTACATTGTCCATGATTTGTGTATTATATGTATTGTATACTGATGGGCCACTGGCCTTAAGTTCGAATAAAACTTGAAACATTGAAACATGAAACGTTTGGTAGAGGGGTAATCATTATTATCATATAGTTTGGTAGTGACTTGATAATTATTATCATATAGTTTAGTGGTGAAGTGATCATAATTTCCATTGTTAAGAATGAAATTACATATTTTCAAAAGCATTACATATTAGATATAAATATAACGTCATTTGACGTTGAAGCTAGCATGCGTGTAAAGTGAACGATATTAATCATAATTGTCTTGTAATCAGACTTCGTCAATTGTTCATTGAATTAATACTTAATCTAAATTAAAAATCTCAAATTGTAACATTTAAAGGGAGTATTACGGTATTATCGATGACGTGCATCCTTCCCTTCAAGAGATACACATTAGATCGTATAATCCCGGTATGGTAATTGTAAACCATGTTAATTCAGTTTAAATGTTCTGTTTGCTAATTTGTTATTTTTTTCATGAACAATATGTATGACTGCTAATCATATCGGTCTTGCGCGTATATGTTGCCATATTTATTTCAAGGTATTGCTTCAATAGTTTTCAACTAATATTGATGTACAAATTTTAACTTTTGAGAAGATTAGAAAAATATCACGAATACAACTGAAAATTCTATAAACGAAAATTTGTTTTAATATAAATTAATATATATATATATATAAACAGTATAGATAAGGAATTTTAAACTGTTCGCCCTATACAAATCATTAAAATTCATTTTAAAAACATTGAAAACATTTTTTATATTCTTCTTTAATCACTCTTGATGATAGTATGTAGAATTCTTGATATGGGAGGAAACCGGAGCACCCGGAGAAAAGCCACATGGTCGCGAAGGTGACCTATACCTTTTCAAATCCGATCAGGAAATCGAATCCCGGCTGGTTCTTTGAAAAGCGAGTCTGCTGTCACCCGATCAACCACTATTGGTTTAACTATTAAGACGGACACTTAAAAAAGTGATTAAGCAGATATCAGTTTCTAAAAATACGATCAGCTTAAAGTTCAATGAGATATGATTCAATACATAGTACCATTATGCCGTTTTAACCTGTTTTTTAACACAGATTCTAGCCTCGTCTGTCAATACACATTTAAAGTTGATTTTTTAGGTGTATTGACAGACGAGGCTAGTACAAGTGGGCTTTATTGATCTTGTAGTTTCTTACTGGTTGTGAATGAACTTCGATTCCAAATTGTGTATTAAACGTGTAATTAACAATAACTTCAGCATGTTTGAAAATATGTAGAGTCAACCGATTGTAGTGCATGTATTTCAAATGACCGATTACGTATTTCTTTATCAGACAGTGACTGATAACATGTTGCTGTAACAGCCAGTGACTGAGAACATGTTGATGTAACAGCCAGTGATTGATAACATGGTATCAGAGAGCGGTTATTGTATCAGTCAATGATTGAACGCTATATTGAAATCGTATGCAATCTGAGACAATTGACTATTGGCTTTTCTTCACTGAAGCAAAACTTTTAAGAATGCTATAAACCCATAACAAACAAATACAAACGAGAAAAAAAGAAAAGAAAAAGAATCGTCGTTTCTTCTTTTATGGGAAATGAACACCAATATAGAGACTTAAACACGTAGTCATTATCCTCAGCATCATCCTATTGGTAAAACAGTATAAAGGATCAATATTTACCTAAAACAATGTTGATCCTTCTGTTCGGATAGACGCCAAAACTTATTCTTGATTCCGCCATGATCTCATTATATAATGTCATAGAAGCTACGCCATTTTTTTCTGTCATTCTCTTCAATTCGATGATATGGATTTCTCTGTTCTTGTTGTTTCGATAAGTCTTAAATTATAGTTCTATGTTAAACGATAACATAGACAATGTCTTCCTCGGATGTTCTGTGCCTTTTCATTTTATGCGAAATATTTTTTTTAATGATGTTTTTGCTTTGGGATATTTAACCGGTATATCATCTCTCTGAACTCTTTAAGACAAACAGGTGATTAAAGTGAGCATATCTGTATACTGTGATCTAGATACATTGAATAATTGGCTAATGTCTTAAATCGACAGTAGGACGAATGTGCTTAGCGTAGTTGACACTGACTTAGTAGCAATGCCAGTTGTAAACAGTTCGTACTTTCGTTGATATATTTCTGTAAGTTAAAGTTGTTGTTCTGACTTAGAAGTACTAAGTATTAATTTAATGACTTAATGTAAAAAGTGAACTTTATTTCAATTGTGAAGATCATTTCAAAATGTTTCTATGATTTCATCCAGTCAAATTAACTACACCAAAATGCTCTTATTTCTTCATAAATAATTGTAATTTCGATGTACGTACATTATTAAAACCTGTACTAAAACTGGGCCAGAGAATACCCGACTATCGATCTATAGGTGTGATTGGTACACGTGACATTCTCTCTATCTAATCGGACAGTTAGTGTCAGGACTTTGGGTGTCCTAGAAAGGTAGGCTATATACGTGGTCCCCACGGTACCAGGTGTCACCTATGTGGGTGTAATCAAAGTCCTGGTGTGAAAGGCCCATTTGACCTTTCTCTAGTAACATAAATGCTTTTCCAAAATTGAACCATTTTCGAGATAAACACTTTTA